AGCAATTTCACCTAAATTATCGACTTTAAATCGACTGAATTTAGAAATTTGACTACCAAATTATCACTTTTTTCATCTTGGAACACTGGTTTGACAAAAAGAAAACAAAAAATTTCTTGCATCTGAAGAGTCCATGGAAAAAAGTCTGACTTCTCAAGTGGATTGTAGAAATGCACGTATTGTGCTGCCATAAGAGACACATCACCTCTTACCACATTTCAACCAGAAGCACTGCATATTTCATGCAGTTAACTTCAAATAGTTTCACAAACACAAAATTACTTACAGATCCAGGGTCAGTGTTGATTTTCTTTGAAAATTCTCTTCGATGATTTCATATTAGTCTGCAAAGGTCTACAACACTACAAAACAATACCATGTGGTACAATACCTTTAATGGGAGTCCTCTTCGTTGGAGCTCCAGGTACTTGAGGGACTTCCTCTGCTGGATGATCCTTATGCCATGGCATGTCAACCAATTTACGTACCTAAAATTTAGGGGGGAAATGTAATGTCAGAAACTAATCTTTGGAAAGTCAACAGATCAATAGTGTATAGATATAGTTACCGTGATTTGATCTTTGTGCTCAGCGCTGTGCAGATGATGCAAATATTCCTTAGCAGTACGGGGAAACACATTACAAACTCTGCACCAGTGATTTTCCGGATCAAAGTGAATGTAATTGTACTTTTGAAAATCCTCTTCAGGAGATATGATTTCCTGTTTCTTTTTTTCCTTACTTTCATCAGCAGATGAATCACTAGATGATGAGGACCTTGACCTTCCTTGTCCACTGGACTGTGAGCGTGAATGTGGACTCTTAGGCTTCTTCTTGTTACCCTAGAAAATATTGAAAAATTAATTCAATGCAAAATCAAGCTATACTTCATGCTTCAATTATCTGGGACCTTACTTTTTCTGCTTCCATTTCCACCCTCTTCTGAGCAAGTTCTTTGCTATCACCTATTATGCCAGTCAACATGTCAATAACATTGTTGATAGCCTTTAATTTGTTTTGAATTTCCACCTAAACAATAAGGAAATATTCAGGTTCACAAGAGGAAGACTAGAACACATAGGGCATAGGTCTAAATCTTTGGCACATTAAACAAACCTGGAGTTTATGATTTTCATGAATAATTCTTTCATTATCTCGAGAATTTTCAGCTGATAGTTCCTCCTCTTGGCCACGAAGCAGTCCTAGTTCACGTTCAAAGACCTTGGATTTCCTTATGTATTCCTCTCGCTGCGCAACCAAATTTTCTTTCTGGGTTCGTAGTTCACGCTCAATGGCTGAAATATTTTATTAAAAATATGGATGTTAAATAAATGCCTTTCATAATTTACACAAACAGGTAGAAATGTAGAACAGAGAAATATTGTATATGTGACAAAAACCTTCTTTCTTGTGCGATTCCTCTCCAGTTCCTGGTGGCGGAGGTATGTTAATGCTGCTCGAGTCATGTGAAGGTTGAGGGATGGGTACAGGCACTGGTACTGGTGCAGGAGCAGCATTACTGTTGTGCTTCATATCTTAAAAATAAAAACAACACAAAACTAAAGTTAAAGATGACAAAGAAAAAAAAGGAACAGTTCTGTGTTTCTAGGAGCATAATGTAGAACACCAGATTGAGCAAAAGCAGAAATATCAGATATACAGTATATCCAACAAAGAAGTGTCTTAAACTTTATAGTGTTCACATAAAAAAGTGCTTTTCTGATATATTTTGTACTACCAAAGTAATGTACTCCACTACTCAAATTTTGAGCAAGAAGTAGAAGAAATAGAAGTAAAATTTACAAATACTTTTTACATTTCAGGTACATACCAGTTAAATGTGCTGAAGAAGGGAGTGAATATTCAGGTGCAGACCAAGTCATTGTAGATGGTGCCTGTGTAGCAATATAGTCCTGAAAAGGTTACAGAAAAATTATGCATCTAATTTCTTTTAAAATAAGCATAAAAATACACCCGATTGAAGAACAGAATGATCTTTGTGTTCCAAAGCTGAAACCAAGTCTTGCTAATAAACAATCCCAGTCAAAACTTGCTGAATGCTGAATTAATTCAAAAGCATGTGGTGACAACATATTCTCTCCCGAATGGAACAAATGCCATTCATGCATCCATGCATAGAAGAAGAGAGTGGTTTGGAAACCTCTTACATATGAAATGGAAGGAGAAATTATAAACTGCAAAGGACAGTTGGATCAAAAACTCAGATAGCACAAACACTTTGACACATTCATAATTTGGAGAATGGAATCCAGTGATAATAACTCACCTTTAAAACAGTGTGACAACATGAGGTTAACTTGTCACATGAAAAGAATATACTCGAGCATAAAATGAAAAAAAAAGGGGGAGAAAGTCGGCTGCAGCTATAGAGCCAGTTGTCAAGCTTTCGTAGATACCCCAATTCAACAATAAACTACATCGCACAAGGTGACTGAACACAGGTGTACAGTAATATATTAATAGAGAAGGGACAGCATAAGGGTAAAAGTGTCGTTCAATGGGAAGGAAATGAGAATTAAGATTTAAAATACACCAAAGCTTCATTTGTTTAGGAGTGTGAAGAAAACAATGCATCATGTTTTCTTACGTCGAGGGCATACGAGTGACTCTTGAATTTCCACAAGACGTTGTGTTAAAAAACTTAAGGCCTTTGGCCAAGATAGCTTGCTTTCAAAGTTACTAGTAACACGTCACATGTCATATAAACAAGGGCCTACACAGTAACCATTAAAATTACTGGTCTTACCGGGACTCCAGGTGGATACAGTGATGGAGGAGGTTGGTGCTGGTAGTAACTGTCATATCCTGGGTAACCTGGAGGTGGCCCAGGAGGATGTCCTTGAGGTGGAGGGACTCCTGGGGGAGGGATTGAGGTATGTTGGAATGGTGCTGCATACTGCTGGCGAATAACTGGAGAGTCGACGCCTGGTGGTTGAGGCCCACGGAAGGGATCCTGTAACAAATTGAACAAGTTGAAGAAAAAAAGTCTCATAAGACAGAAGACAGTACAGAGTCACACAATGTATACCTCATTATAAGAAGGGTATGATGAAGACTGCTGTACCTGTGGTGCGTAGCCGGATGTTGACATATGTGGCCTATTGGGTGGAGACTTGCTACGGGAATGACTTGCATTGCGTCCTCGATTCCTGAGAGTATGAGCATATTTCAAAATTATTATGTCAATCTTCAAAGAGGATCTGAATATTATGATTTTTATTATGCTGTTTAAAGGCAGTACCGTGGAGAAGTACTACGGCTGTAATTTCTCCGGTTTCGGGCTGGAGAGCCACTTGAAGATCTTGACCGTGAAGACGTCGAACGTGATCTCATTCTTTTACGGTGTGGTGAATGAGACCTTGATCTTCTACCTTGAGGGCTCCGATACCTGCGATCGCGCTGATCACGTTGGTCACGTCCCCCATGATTTCCCCAACTTGAGCGGTCACCACCACGGAATCGACCCCTAAGAAAAAAAAAAGATGCCAAGAGTTCAATTGAATTGAATTGAATTCATAATACAAAATTTTCTAACTAAATTTTTAAAATGTAAGCCTCTTACCGAGTAGGACCTTCTGTGTTCCATCTCCCACGACCACGACCAGAGTCTCTTCCATCTCTCACAAATCTTCCTTTCTCCATATTGTCTCCGAGCCTCTCTCAGTAAAAATTGTGTATATATGTTTCTTTCTTAATAAATCTCTTTTGATTTCCTTGATTTCAACCTGAGTTGTGATTTAAAACACTTTAAGGTTCTACAAAAACCACCTGGATATGGATCATTTTTCAGTGCAATGAAATTCATTTGCTCGTGTTCATCTTGACTTACATACTCCCTCTGTCTTCGTTGATTTCTTTCTAAGAACCTGTTGACAAAACAGAAACACAATTCTTAGATTTAGAGAATGTTGTTAAAATAGCCAACACAAAATTTATAACATGATGTGAGCTAAGAGAGAAGGAAGAAATAAGGCACCAAATTTCATAAATTTGAAGTTCAAAAAAGAAAAAGTAGAATAGTGGAACAACTGCAGTTTCCTTCCCCATTGGCAGGCAGAATTTGACCAGACTCGTTTAAAACTGTAGAACTACTACTGTTCACATTAATCCTGAACCTCAATGTGAAATTTAGAGCACATCATCAAAATTAACTTAATTGAATCAGAGAATAAAAAGCAAGATTTCAGCTGTACAGTGGAACAATAGCAGAAAAAATTGTGGCAAAATAAATTTGTGATGAACTATTGGGAAAACTTGGCTAAGTGCAGAAAACACTCAATAAAAAATCAAAAACAAGGAATTTAAATAATTTTAGATCTCAATGTGAAAAAAACACTGCTTGTTGAACTCTTTATCACAGTGAAAAGTTAAATTTTTAACTAAGCCTAATTCCTTATCCATATTTTCAAAGGGATGCTAATCGGGAAAAAAAAAGAATGACAAAAAATGATCGGGCTAAAAGGCATACGATATTAAGTGTTGACGAAGCAAGTCACGGCGAATAGACGTTAGAGGCCAGTCAGTGAGTCGTTCATGGACGGTTCTAGCGCTAAAAACGGGCGGCTCACGCCACAGGCTCCAGACCTCCAGACAAGGGCCAATACCTTTTCCTCCAGTAAATAATTTCATACAGATGCGTATGGGACATAGACTGTTGGGACAATTGCGACGGAACAATACCACGTAACGGTATTCAGCATACCCGTTAAAACATTTTAACGCATTGAAAAGGTTAACTACGACGAACAAAAAAAAAATAGGTAAGAAGTACATAACCAAACTTTTGACCAAGAGCGTAGAAAGAAAACACGAAAAGTAAACACTAACAGAGAAGGAAAATTGCAGAAATCTATCGAGAAGTTTGGCGTACCGGCGTTCTGATACGATTTTCTACGCCGGTTCACATGTTAAAATGGGAAAACTCCTAAAGGCCATTTGTTACACTTACTTGTTAGGCTCCGGTATACAAGCACCCCGCGATGCCGAGTACAAAATGTTACTGTATCACTGACAGTTCGACATGAAAAAGGTCACGGAGGGGCCGACGACGCTTTCCTCAAATTTTGCCGGTTAAATGGCCACTTAAATATGTAAATTGATAAGTTTTCAAAGAAAATAAATACGAACACGCCGAACTATGCGAAAGCCTTACACTGCACCGCCATTTTCTCAAAACCCAAGCAACGCGGAAGTTT